TGTAACTTCTTTGCTTGAATCCTTATGATTTATATTGTTTCCTGATTGCTTATTTGTACCCTATGACTATCATTATGTGCTGTACCTTATGATTCTTGACGAATGTATCTTGTCTTTTTATGAACCCTGAGAGCATATGCACCAAAGACAAATTCCTTGTGTGTCCAATCACACTTGGCCAATAAAGAATTATGTTCTGTTCTGTTCTGTTCTATTCTGTATTGTATTGTATTCCTATTCCTATTGCTATTCTATTCTAATTCTATTGAGCACCGTCTCCGACATCCTGTAGGGGGGTGTCGGCTGCAACCCTGAAAGCTTCCGTGCCCTTTTGCCGCTCGAGAGAAAAGAAAAAGGAAGAGGGGGGCGGGGCCTGGTGGGCGAGCTCCGCGAGGAGGCGGCACGCGGGAGGCAGGGCCCCCGGCCGGCGTGCGGGAGTGGAACCGGCGCGAGCGGACGCTTGGAGGGCCCGCTGCTGCCAGCAGGGACGGGAGCGATGTTGCTGGCGGCGCGGGCCGAGTATCTCGCGCCCTGGTGGACGTCGTGGTTACACGGGCTCCCCCATTTGAGCTTCAGCCTGCGACCCGTGCCCAACGCCTTCCGCCCGAGGGACGACGACTACCAGCAGGTGCGCTTTAGTGGCTTTCGGCAGCATCCTCGGCCGTCTCGGTCTTGGCCGCTTTGCCCCCTTCCCTCAAACCGGAGGCTGCAACGAAGCTTCGGGCGTTTGCTAGCTCTTCGTATCCCACCCCCCTCCGGATGTTCTCCAGATCTTTGGTCTTGTTATCCGTAATGAAAGACGGATTTGCTTCCACCCCTTCGGGTCTCCAGCTAAGATCTTGAAAGGGGAGCCCTAGGTTTCCCTCCCCAGAATCGGTGTTTGCGCCTTTACAAACGGGACGGATTGCGCCGTCCGTGTCGGTAAAATCGCTCCTCTTTTTTGTGGGGGGAACAAGAGATCTTTAGCCAAGGGACATTCCAACTTCCTCCTCCCCCGTCCTCCCTTTCCGTCCTCGCGGGTCTGCCTTGCTCCCCCATGATAAACCGAGGAGGAGGGTTTGGGAAACTAAAATACTTAGATATATAATTATATAAAAATATAAATAATTATATAAAAATAATATGTAATTACAATTATGCTGGTGCATAGGCGCACTAGCGTGCCTAACGTCCCTGTCCTGTCCCCTATTTATTTGTACCCATTTCCTATGTTCTTATTCCTCTTATCTTGTACATGAGTGACAAACTAAATAAAATAAAATAAATGTATGTATATATGTAACCCTCTCTGTACGATTCTGGCTCTACCCAGCCCAGCCGGTCATTGAATGGTTCGAGATCGGCGACGCGATTAAGCGTGGTGAAGTCTGGAGTACTTTCTGCCCGGTTGGCTTGTTGGCGTAGTCGAGTAATGGTTGTGATTCCCCCCCCCCCCTCCTTCCTTTCTTTCTTTCAAGTGCTGGCGTGTAACATTTTGCCGTTTTCGCATTTCTGGTTGCTAGGGAATTAGCCCTTTCTGCTTTGATGTTGGCGTGGTATCCAATTCCAGGCATTGACCACTCTGTTGCTGAAGTCCTATTTTCTGCAATCGAGTTTGGAGCGGTTTACTTTGAGTTTGTATCTATTGTGTGCTCGTGTATTATTGCGGTTGAAGCTGAAGTAGTCATTGACTGATAGGACGTTGTAGTAGATAATTTTGTGTACTAAGCTTAGGTCAGACCGTAGTTCTAAGTTGTCCAAGTCCAAATTTTCGAGCCTGGTGGGAAAAAAAGGTGGAGGCAGCTGAGCTTTCTGTTAGCTGCTTTAAAACTAGGTACCCATCGATTGTTCCTCGAAGTTACAAAAATAAAACAAAGTTTATCTTATCTGGATAAAATGTATGTTAGAAATCCTTCTGGGCAGTGGGCTTCCTCTCTGAGTTTTCCCCAGTTGGGCATCCTTTTGGTTCTTCCCCCCCCCCCCCATGTCATCTTGCTGCCTAAGTGGGTCCATAAAATTGGAAGGATTCTTGAACACGTCTGATTTGTCTCCTGCTCTATGCTAGATCTATAATGTGGGATAAAACGACAACATTCTTAAAAGATGAGCCTCCACTCTTTGATACATGGAAACCTTGGATCCATTGTATATTGAGGCAAACTGTGTCTTGGTCAGCCAATTTAACAGATTTTAACAGATTAACAACACCTGCTCAAGCAGGAGACCCTACATCTGCCTCTACCTAGGATTGAACTCACAACCTCCTGATTGTGAGGTGAGAGCTCTACCTCTAGGCTTTCTTGACAAATAATTAGTCCAGGATTTATTTCTCTGCATTTTCAGTCATTGGTTCTAAGTGTTGTTCTGTTCTATGGAGGTCCAGAGATCAAAAGGATAGTCATGGATAAGTCCTAGTAAATCAGAGACACTATAGGCAAAGAGTTATTTGGACAAGTTGTGGGTCCTAATTTATTATATGCAAGTAGTCCTTGACTGACAACACTTAGTTTACTGACCATTCAAAGTTACAATAGCAGTGGGGCAAAAGTGCTATATGGCCATTTTTCACACATTGCAGAATCCTCATGGTCATGTGATCAAAATTTGGATGCTTGGCAACTGGCATGTATTTAGAAGAGTTGCAGTATCCCAGGGTCATGTGATCACCTTTTGCGGCCTTCTGACGAAGCAAACTCAGTGGGAAAGCCAGGTTCACTGGACAATCATGTTACTAATTTAACAACAGCAGTGACTCACTTAATAACTGTGGCAAGAAAGGTCATGAAATGGGGCAAAGCTCACTTAACAATTGTCTTGCTTAGCCACAGAAATTTTGGGCTCAGTTGTGGTTGTTAGTTGAGGATTATCTATATTGGATCCACGGTGGGGTCAGACAAGGAGAGAGGTCACACTCCAGGCAGCAGCTGTTGCTATATCCAAGAAAACAAATTATGGTAGCCATTCTTAAAGGAGTATTATTTCCAGTAATCAACTGATGCTGAGTGCCATAAATGTCCCAGCCTCCCTCTCCCCCTGGCCAAACTGGTGCACATCCTGTCCTACAGTCCCAAGGAGGCTATTGTATTTCTCCTAGCATGCCAACCCTGGAATCTGGTGCTCCTCTGCTTAGGGACAGTTGATTAGCGATTAGAGCTGCAAAGTAATTATACAGCTGTATAATTACTTTACATTGTTATGTACATTTTGTGTTTTGTTTTTTCTTGTTGTGTTTTTCTTTCTGTTTTTAAAGATTATATGTTCAATAAAAACTATTTTTTTTAAAAAAAAGGGATTAGAGCTGCAGTGTCTGATCAATTGGTTTCACGACATGTCCTCAACTCTGGGCCACAATAGGTCACCTGGTTCCTCATTCTCACTCTCTTGACATCGCTTCTTCCAAAGAAGAACCCAGGGCACACGTGACAAGCAGACTGGTTTGAAGTTTTTTGGGATCATTTATGTGATTTGTCTATTTTCTATCCTCCCAACTCATCACACTCCATAAACCCTCACACACAACCTAGAAATAGAAATTGTTCCGTCTTCTTCAGCCCCCAGAGATATCATTTTTACCTGGTCCTGGAAATGTAAACTCATTTAAAATAGTGTAGATATTCTGTAACGTTTCCTTTCCTGTCTATTCTGCAGCATGTAGTACATTCTAGAGAGCTCAAATGTATATATTGATATTTCTGCTACTTCTTGAGATTAGTATTATAAGCATGCTGAAATTATACTATTATATCTTCATAGTTCATTCTGCCAAACAGATTGGCTACTACCACAGGGGGGGGGGGAGGGATCAATGATTCCTTTGCAATGCGGTAGTGAAGATTGACATATAACTGAATTGCCCACAGATTGTATGGTGTTTTTAGGAGTTGATGTTGAATTCTTTGATCTGCACTTGGTTATAAATTTATGCCTCACAGTATGACTCAGGGGATAAAACAGGTCAATGTGTTTGGCATCACTTTGTGAAAATTGGCCCCCAGATGGTAGACTCTCAAGGAATGACCCGTAAAAGCAATACAGTTTGCCAACCCTTCATTTAGTTAGGAGGGCCTTAGAGAGCTTAAATTTTATCCATCTTTTTGTGTAATTTGCTCAGCAGACTAAGTGTTTGGCATTTTATTTATGAGAATGTAGATATGAACATTACCATATATGCCATCAAGTCCAGACAGATGAATTTTCTCCATGATGAGCTGTCCCTAACCTGGTCCTTTAGATCTTCTTCTAAAGATGTGCCAATCACCTGCTCATCCTGTTCTTCTCTTTCTTTCCATCTTTTCCAGCATTAGGGCCTTTTCTAGAGAGCTACTCCAGAGAGCTAGCTAGGGTAATGTGAACGTGATCATTAATGCCTTGAGTAAGAACTGTGGGTTGCTTTGTTCAATGATCTGTTTGCTTGTTTTCTTGACTGACTGTGATATTATGAGAAGTTTCCTCCAACATTCAAAAGCACCAATACTCTTCCTATCCTGCTCTTTTTACATATACAGTTTCACTTTAAGAAATGGACATTCCATATATTTCTTTGCTAAAAAAATACAGATAACTCTTACAAAATAGACATTCAAACAATATTACTACTATATTTTTGGAGTATAAGATGCACGAAGGTTTTGAAGAGGCTTAAAAAAAAGTAGGTAGGTAGGTAGAGGGAGAGAAAGAGAAATACAGTAGGTAGGTAGGAAGAGAGAGAGAGTAGTTAGGTAGATAAACAGATAGAAAGAAAGAGAGAAATAGAGAGAGAAATACAGTAGGTAGGAAGGGAAAGAGAAATAGAGAGAGAAATACAGTAGATAGGTAGAGAGAGTGCGAGAGAGAGTGAGTAGGTAGATTGGTAGGTAGGTAGAGGGATAGAGAGAGAGAGAGTAGGTACGTAGGTAGATAAAGGGGGGAGAAATACAGTAGGTAGGTAGGGATGGAGAGAGAGTAGTTAGGTAGGTAGATGTTTCCAGGTGTATTTATCCATATGCTGGAGAAGGAAATCACTGACAATCTGCAGCACCTAGGACTTTGTTTCTGCTGGCACAGCACTTGATCAATATAATTCTCAACAAACACTCTAACTAAAGAATTTTCTGAAAGGGAAAAAAAAGTTTTTGCACTCTGCAAACCTCCCCAAAATGGCCCATTTTTCGCGAAAACAGGTCCATTTCCCCCCCAAAAAAGGCATGAATAGCCTTGGGGGGGGGGGGGGAGACAAGCAAAAAACGGCCCGTTTTTCGTGAAGAAAATTGCATGCATAGCCTTATGTAGGCTTATAGAGTGCTCCTGGGGACTGGTGGGGGCCAAATTGCTCATTTTTGCCCTTCCCAGCCCCCAGAAGCTCTCTGAAAGCCTCCATAAGGCTATGCATGGCCATTTTGGTGAAGTGGGTGGGGTTTCAGGAGGCAGAAAATGCTGTATTCAGTGTATAAGATGTACCCAGATTTTCAGCCTCTTTTTTGAGGGAAAAGGGTGTGTCATACACTCCGAAAAATATGGTAATTTTACTGTCTTCAGCATATATTGTCAGATGCTTACTGGAAATCCAGATATATTGTAATCAATCATGTTCTATAAATCTCTCGCGAGCCTTGCAGGTTACATGTTTTTCTCCCTGAATCATTCAATCCCCCCCCCCCTCTAGTGGTTGCT